TGGATGCCAATAATCATCCTGGGGATTCTGTCTCAGACAGGAACAGTCGCTTTATCCACCGAGGTGTATGCATGGGTTGCGGTTCTGGTTCTGCCAATCAACTCGTCTCTCAATCCTTTCCTTTACACTTTCTTCACAGTTTGTTTCGCGGCTAAACCAAAGGCAAAAACCCCGAAAGTGAATCAGCGCATACAGTTGTCTGTTATTGCAAAGTAATTCATACCTAAAAGGATATGGAAATAGCCGTGGCTTTGAACTGCGCAAAAGACATGGCGAAATCGAACCCTGGTATCAAGGCCAAGCATATTTTAGTTTTTAATCAACTGCTCATTTACATACTGTGGAACACTCTCAAAACGCTGGTTAAAATTTTGTTGGTTAAAAAAGTTGGTTAAAATTTTAACCAACGCTGTGTAAAATTGTCCAATTTTGCCCAACGTTTGCCCAACGTGTTGGTTATTTTTTTTTTTTTACCAACCGTTGGGCTGTTCACCTGTTAAGCAACAGTTGGTTAAAAGTAGTCCTTTCACCCAATACTGGTTAAATGTACCCGATTTTAACCATAGTTGGGTAAAATGACTACTTTTAACCAACTGTTGCTGCTTAACAGCTGAACAGCCCAACGGTTGGTTAAAACAAATTAACGTTGGGTAAACGTTGGGCAAAATTGGACAATTTTGCATAACGTTGATAAAATTTTAACCAACTTTTTTAACAAACAAAATTTTAATCAGCGTTTTGAGAGTGAATGACTGACGACGATGATTTACAAAACGATTTCCCCGATTAAGATGACCAAAAACATTCGTAGTTGTCATGACGTGTGTCGTTCAGATGTTGTTGGAAACTTCGCAATTTGTGCAACATCACGCGTGATTGTTGGTCGTATTTGTTCAGTTTTGGAGGTTTTTTTCCGTCAATTGTTTCTGAAGAAATAAGCGCGGGGAGGGGACGATCAAAGCTGTCTTCAGGTCAGGACACATCCAATGAGGGCGCTCAGGGAAGTAGGCGCCTAGGGCCTATACCCATAAAATCAACTCCGCCATTGTATTACTTGATAATGTAAGCTTATTTTTTGTTTATTAAAAAAACATTGTTTTTTTTTTTTTTTACAAATGGTACATAATGTAAGCTTAATTTTTTTTTTATTAAAAAAACATTGTTTTTTTTTTTTTTTTTTACAAATGGTACAGATTTACTAAAGGGGCCATGCGATGAATTTTACAATGATGCATGCATTCGGCGAACATCCTTTATACGCTTATGCTACATTAGTATGTTACTAACTGATGTAACTTGTCAATTAAAAAGGCCATGGTATGTCAACTGAGCGCTTTCCTGGCTTCAGGCAAACAACTTTACAGTTTTGAAGATTGTTAATCCAAAATGTAGCCCATTAATTAAAAATAGTGGCTGTGCCTAAAAATAGCTCATTGACTTTCTGTTGGATACTTAATCAACAAAGAAATTAATGCGAAGGATTGACACTAAACTGAACCGAAACACCAGGCAAGTTTAAATGCTGAATTAGTATACATTGCATATATAATTCTATCTACGAATACTTATTTTGCTTGTGAAAATTTGGATATATAGCCAAAAAAAAGCAGGGAAAACAAGAATATTCGCATAGACTTTTTATTTTTTTCATGCAATCCTTGAAAATTCATCTTTGTGTCCCATTTAACTTATTTTCAATTTTTGATTTGCCACTTTCAAGGGTAGTTTGTTGCCTTTTTTTGTATTTATGCTATTGCCAATTTCCATATTCATGAGTACAAGACACTTGGGTATCATTTCAGGCAGAAACCTCAATGTTACAGTTATTTCAGCACCAACAGTTACCAGAATTTTGGATATTCTGCTGTCTTGAAATTTCTTTTCTGCGATCATGATTCTTTACTGTGTCAGTACATGATAGTAAGCCATAGATCAAACATTTCACAACAGATGTTTTCAGTGAGCAATGTTATGGGTTCACAATTTGAACAGAAAAACCCCTAAACTGAACAGTGTCATCCCAACATGACATCGCAGTAACAGCGCCCTCAGTTGTTCTGAAAAGCAGGGACAAATGTACATATTGAAAGAAGCGCACTTTTCAATAAAATTAACAAAAAGGGATGTAAAATAGTGTCTAAACATTTAAGAAATGTGGAAAGTTGCACAAAATATGTTCCTAAAAAAAAGTTCATATTTTAGCCCTTTAAATTCTTGTGAGAATATGTTTCTTTCATTCTAAACTTTGCATGAAGATTTACATTGCGAGAAGCTTGTGATTATTGGATTTGAAATAATTGGGTTGGATGTTTATGTTGTATTCAAGTTAATGTAATTTCAATGTGACCATCGATTAATTAATGTACGATGTTGTAACGAAAAGTACGGAAAGTTTCGTCTTGCGTACGTCTTTTGCTGTATAAAGTGCTGTGGCAGAGTATTATCTGCATTCTATATATTTATTGACAATAATCAGTGTTAATATCGATTCTAAACTGTAAAAAGAAAGCACTAGAGGGGATTGGTTAATTAAAGATACGTGTAACACTTGGTACGAAATTTAATTCAGTTTCTGATGTGTGTGAGCTTAACCAACACCATTGATGAGAACAAATCTTCAGTGGTGTTGTTTAAGGCAAACACTTTACAGTTTTAAGGATTATAAATTCAAAATGTAGCCTATTAGGCCCAAAAAAAAGTCTCCGGTTTCTGGTATGGAGCTTGTCCAAAAGGTGGTGCGGCGACGCGGCTTTTTTTTTTTTTACCCGACTTTTTTTGCTTCAAATGTCGGCTGATGACTGCAAATGGTGCCCGACTAAACTTAGTGCAAATATATGGGAGTCCAGAGAGGCCACATAAAGCTTATTCTCGATCATAACCCCAACTAAAAACACGTTGAATTGCGCAGCAGCAGAATTCCAGTCAAACCAGTGAGTTTGGTGGTTTTGAGACATCATCTTTCATTGAAAAAAAACTTTTTCATTTTGCCGACGCTACGGCGATGCGCGCGCATACCAGAAACCGGAGACTTTTTTTTTTGGCCTTAACAAAAAGTGGTTGCGCCTATAGATGGATAATAACTGTCGGACACTAAATCAACACAGGAATTAATACGAAGGATTGACACAAAAACTGAATCGAAATAGTTTAAATGCTGAATCGGCTGTAACATATAGTGTGTATATATAAAATGCACATTTAGCCCAAAAAATGGGGGAAATTTAAAAAAAAATATTCGTACCTTCATAATGTTGAATTCTTGTAAAAACACTTTATATTCTAAACTTTGCATGAAGATTTACATTGCGAGAAGCCTGTGATTACTGGATTCGAGATAAGGGCTGGACTTTTATGTTGTATTATGTAACTTCAATATGGCCATCGATTAATTAATGTACGCTTTTAAAACGAACAGTACAGAAAGTTTCGTATAGCGTATGCCTTTTGCTGTATAAAATTATATGGTTATTACTCGAGTCGATGTTAATAATGTGTTGATGTGCCGTGGCGTAAAAGTATATTCTTACAATAAATTATACATTTATTGACAATTGTAATAAGTGTCTCTATGTCGATTTTAAACTGGATAAGGAAAGCACTGCAGGTGCTTGGTTGAAGATACGTTTTACACTCAGTACGACATTTAATTCCGTTTGTGTGAGCTTAACCAACACTATTGATGAGAAAACATTATTTGAAAAAAAAAACATATTGAATAACACGTTTAATTGTCAGGTGAGGCTGATGTAAAATAAAAGCTGTTTAAAATGTAAAAAAAAAAATGTGTTAGATTCATGAATTCAGAGTACCTCCAAATGTATGTCTAACCTCGTTTAGATGAAAGGACTACATCTGTGCAATGAAATACAAAGGAAGCTTTGATCCTAAATCGCTTTAAAAACAATTGTACACAATTAATGGATGGAGCTATGCCACTTTAAAGGGAAAGTATTTTGGAAAAGGATGTAATCTTCTAAAATATAACAACAAACATTTGATTCGTCTTTTAATCATTAACCTTTAATTTATCAATTAACGATGATGACAGTGATTTAAGAGAAACACAAGGTATAGTTTTTCTTTTTTTAATCGAATTGGAAAGAAACAACTTACGCAATACTTGGAAAGTAATTATTCTGTTTTAAAGAACAAATATCTTCCCAAACCATTAATAGCATCGTCTCAGATGGTATATCAAATAACGACGCTGCTGAAATTGCAAAAACGAAAGGCGGATCTACAACAACATGTTTCTAAAATTGTCAGGGGGCGACTGGCCAGGTAGTTGCTGCAAGTGGGGAGGGGGAGGGCGGGGGGTGTCCAGAATCAATTTGACGTGGGTACTTTAATCCGTAGGCTGAAAGAGAATCGGGTTAAAACACTCGTATATCCTTCTTCTGGTTTAATATTGGGCGAGGGGCAAATTCGGGGCTGGGAATTTGTGGGGGAATGTGCCCCGCAGGCCCCCCCCCCCCCCCCCCCCCCCCCGGCTACGCCAATGCATGCTCGCAAAGGGTGCAGTGACTGTTATGTAACGATTGCTGTCGATCTAGATATATCTTAACGCGTATTCGTGCAAGCGATACTCAACTTTATGACTGGCTTTATTGTTAAGCTCGTGAAAGAAGAAAAACCGTGATGGAAAAAAAACTTCGATTTATCAATTATTTTGTTATTTATTAGAAATGGCAAAAAATAATATATTATTTTTTTCATCTGAACTAACTCTCCATCAGCCATGTGTGGTTTGCAAAATACCGGCTCCATTTGCATTCAGCCTCAGGAAAGTTATTTCTCCCCGATGTAAGAGATTTGTCTTACTGAATATGAGTCCTTGGTATTCCGCTTTACGAACATTAAATCGTATAAGGCTAAAGTATATATATGTTTATACATTACAGCTAAGCTTCGAAACAATTAAAGCAAGGCATGAAGCCAAAACTGAAACGAAGTTGGAGTCCCCAAACACCTTTGTTCTCCCATAGAAATGGTCCGGAGCTTGAGGGCGCTGTCATTGTTGTTCTAGCTCGCGCCGTGCTCTGATTTGACTTGCTAAAGTTTGAGCTTTGCGAACAAAATGTAGTTTTTGTAGGTTTATTCAAACCTGAGATTCTACGTTCTGAAACAACTTAGGAGGTGAGTTATCAAATCCTTATCTCTTCAATTTCACCGTGTAATCACAACCAACATTTTTGTCAAAATATGTTTCTCATGGACGAGGAAGGATTGAGGATCCTCGGCTCCGAGTCCAAGTTAAATCATGTAGGCCTAGCCCCATAAATGTGGCCAATTTACTTGACTACCTCCGTAAATATAGGCCACACTTCCACCATGTACAAAAACATGTCAAACTAATCAGAAAGTGCTGCCTTTTTCAGATGTCTATTTTTCGTGAAATTTCCAGATTCGTGTACTGTGATAAATCGATAACTGTGGCGTGTGTTTTGGGGTAAACTTTTGGCGATCGTAAACATCGTTCAATTTAAATTTGCTTATTTCGGTCCGCGTACGAGTTGCCTGGCGTACGAGTTGGTTCGCGTACGAGTTGGTCCGCATACGAGTTGTCTTGCGTACGAGTTGGCTGGCGTACGAGTTGTCTCGCGTACGAGTTGACCAATCCGCGTACGAGTTGTCTCGCGTACGAGTTGGTTCGCGTACGAGTTGACCTGTTTCCCGTTTGAATATCAAAATTTCAACATGAATGAAATTTCACGAAAATTAGACATCTGAAAAAGGCAGCACTTTCTGATTAGCCTATAAAGAGGGTGAGTATGCTTCTTAAGCAAAAATAAACTACAAACTAAGCCTAAATGTGAAAATCAAAATTTGACAAAGTTCGACATGTTTTTGTACATGGAGGAAGTGTGGCCTTTATTTACGGAGGTAGTCCAGCAGTAAATTGGCCACATTATGGGGCTAAATCAAATCTAGACCCACAATAGACAGTTGGCCTAATTGAGGAAAGATTTCCTTACTTCTACATGTAGGCCCTACATGTACGTCACTTTTTTCAATACATTTTCAAGCGCCAAAATGTTACTTTCTATGGTTCTTTCCATCTATTTTCCCTCCTCGACTCTCACTCTCTACCCTCCTCCAATCCTCTTTATTTACTAGTTACTTACTCTACTGGGATTCGAACAGGGAATGTTGTTAGTTATTTAATCACACCGCCTTATTTATCGTATCCGCTACACTAGTCGAACGATTGTTGCCAGTGAGGGATTATTTGATGTATTTAAAGTATAGGCTAATGATCTTTATTCATTACAAATTAAATATTCATGATGACGTATTGCACTAGTATCATTGGGTAGGCCTACAGGTAGTGCGTTGTCGATGTCACATAATGCGCACTAATTACTGCATACATCATAACCAGTGCCAAAATTGGCCGCCTAGACCGTCTGCTGCCAAGCTGATGTGTGCATCCAAAGTGTGATAAATTTCTAAAAACACATTTTTCAAAAAATTGTCTTCACATTGCCAGAGCTTCCTGGATTTGTCACAGATAACTGACATACGAGTATGGAATTCCTTCCCTAAATTGGGCACTAGAACTTCCTTTTTTCAAATTTGGACTTTGGTCGGTCATAGTAGCGCTTCAGCGAATAGTTGACCTAACTGTGGCCTGATGGCATACATGTAGGAAAGAATGTTGCATACTGAATTACTGATGCCACTTTTTTCATCATATAGGCCCCCCTAATAATGATGATTATCTGAATGAAGGTCAGTCTTTGTAAAAATGTTAAAAATACACGAGACTGGGACTGAGAAACATTTATATTTTTTAAAGAAAATACTTTGAAAATGCACCCCACTCTCCATGTAGACTTTGTACACAACCAAAGAAGTTTACAAGGAATGTAAACAACAGTATTTTCACAAACATCTACCTCAAAAAGTTGCCAAAATCATGGTAATACTTCAATTATTGAAGGTATCAAGGTGCCAAAGACGAACAACTGGAGTTTAAGGGTAGGCCCTACTCACCATCATTTTGTGAGCTACAATCGATAGCATTTGACCAGTGTTCACCATCACAGTAACACTACACACTGCTTGAAACAAAATGAATCAACCTCACTCCGAGATCACGAAAAACGACTGTTTGGCATATGTTTGGTGAAATATTGAAGAAGACACACTGTGACCGTGCTAGCACCTGTAGCCTCAGTGATATCTATAAATTTACAAAATATTCAGGCTTGTGCATTACAGCACTAGTTATTAAATTGATTTTTTTTCATTGCAGATTGTGTTCTTTGAAGACTGATGTGGCCAGACAGAATGATGTATGGTAATTTGTGCCCGCTGTAAATTGAAGCAGTGAGTGTGGAGAATCTTGTCTTGTCTGGTACTGCCAGACAAATCGCCTCATGATCAGGTGGCTATTAACGTACAGTTGTCCAATCGAACTGAAAGGCTAACAGAAAAACCTGAACTGAAGAAATGTCGAACTGAAGAAAGGAATGTGGCATTAAAAGAGTAAATGTTCCACTAGTATAGAGCATGGTGTGGCTGAAACGTAGAAGAGTCCTAGTTTTGGCTTCCATCTTCATACTGACATGGCTGGTGATTATCATATACACCCCGTCACCTTCAGGAAGTCAGAAAAATGCAAACCACGGTGCCAAGCGGGGAGCCAGTCAACAAAAACCTCCCCAGAGCGGGAGCAGACGCTCAGGCAAATTGCCCAGGATTAGAATCGTGGATGTCGACGAAAATCCATCCATAGACAAGGAGGAACAAAAGATTGAGACGCAACTCCGAGATGCAAGCCAAGATTTCAGCGATAACAAAAACTTAACGTTCAGCAAAATTAAAATTCTGGACGGGGAAAATGGTGATTCGAAAGCCCTGTTGAACATTGAGCTAGACCTTATACCTCATGCGTTACCAGAGGGGGTGAGGACACAAGGTGCAATATGGAACTTGGCGGGGAGTTGGGTCAACTCTAAGCAAATTACTCCCGCCGACAATCCCGATTTGGGGATGGTTTTGAACGCTATGGCAAACCGACCTATTGTCAAGGCTGATATTGGTTACAAAGGTACACAGCTGAAGGCACGGCTGGAATTATCGGGAGGACAGTGGGTCGTCTTCAAACCTGGAAGGTGAGTCGAGCACCTATCAGTGGTACATGTAAGAGGGACTCCAGGACCTTTTGGAGAAGTGCATCGTGGGCCAATAATGAGTAATGTCGTGCAAATCCGACCCGAATCTTCAACGTCCGACCCAAAAACCAACTTCAGTTTGGATTGGCACAGTTTTTCCTTCATCGGTCGGTTTTGCATGAAGTTGCGATTTTCGGGTTGGTTGTGAAAAACCTGAAATAAACCCCAAATAGGGAAAACTGTTTGGAAATTTACGTGGTGCATTTTTGCAATATAATTGCAGAGTCTTGTACCTGGTACGGTTACACCTCTATGTTCCGACACCCCTATGTTCCGACTGCACCTATCCCAAACCCTAACCCTAACCCTAACCCTAACCCTAACCCTAACCCTAACCGGGAGCATCACATCTAGGTTGTCGGAACATAGGGGTGTTGGAACATAGAGCAGTCACCCCTGGTACGGTGCGTGCATACCACATGTACATGTACATGTACTATGTCAACGCACCATGGGATTGTGCATGTGGTTTGTGGTCTGTCACACTCCATCTGTAAGTGTACAATGTACATGTAGGCCTACAGTTAGGCCACGTTAGCATGGTTAGTACAGTAGGATTCTTTACTATGACATGAATTTTCAAAAACAAAATTCATGGGTAAGTTTAGGCACAGAAATCGGACACAGTGTTCATGAAATATAGGACAATTTGCCCCTGCTAGATATTCTGGGGGTTTTTTTCGGGTTGGTTCGGTTCGGGTCAGTTTTTCACAGAATTTTTGGTCGGGTCAGTTCGGGTCGGCTTTGGTGAGTTCAGATTGGTTTCGGTTCGGATTCAGTTTCTATGTGTAATGTTTCCGGTTGGTTTCAGCTGGTCAACCCGACCCGATGCACTAGTGGTTCTATGCTTCACATGTACATGTACGTGTTCGGTAGGTAAGCAGAACGATAAAATGTGGTCCGAATTTTCTGATATGTTGAGCCATTTGTTGGAAAATTTCTTAACTTTCAGTTTTGTACAGACAAATTCGGTGATAGCCATTTTCTGCAGTGGCACCAGGCTCGGGCGAGTTGCACTCGGGAAATGCACACGCACGCCAGGCTTCTTCGACCAATAGGGATACCAGAATGCACACGCGCCTCGTCTTTAAGAATTATAATGATTTATCAGGATAATATCAAGTTTATAAGTGGGACAAAGAAAAAATTGATTTATTGTGAGTTTATTTTCTGGGATGTTGAATTGTCTTTATTTGACGATAAAGTTAAATGTACACAGGAAAAGACAGTTTTTTAAGTGGTGAAATTCATCATGTGAATTTTCTTTCTACGTGTATTAGAGTTTCCACTTTGATGACCTTGCATTACATGTAGGTACACAAGAGATCATGTCATTGATGGCACGCCATACGCAGGGTATGACAGACATACGGGGGAGATTGCTGCATTCCATCTAGACAGGTAAGGGTGTGGACTCAAAGTCAATCACAATTCAAGTGACAACTAAACCATTCTTAAAGGTATAGTCCATCATTTGCAGCCATCCGAAAAGTAACTGGCGTAATTATTGTTGAAAAACAAACTTGGTTGAATAAATAGTAAGGGGACTAAACTCCCTGTTAAATTATTCTTTCTGGGGTAATCAACGAAAGAAGGCATTTCCAACGGTGATTCTTATGAAGCACCGTAGGAAAATTTAAATTAGTAGTTCGTTTTGTTATTCAGCGCAGCGCGCACAAGTATTGGAGCGACGCACACGCGCGCGCGGTTGTTATAATTCGTCGGATCAGTGCGCGACGTCGCGTATAGCTGCAATTCAAAACAATTCAAAACATGATTCAGTAACTTTGGATTTGAAATTGAGATCTTAGAATGCTGTTTTTCTCGGAATGTACAGCTGAAGCTTAGCTGAAACTTCATCAGGTTAGTTGCTCAGTATCCTTCATTTGATTTTGAACCCTTTTGTTGCTTCAAACGAACAAAATGCACAAATTACAAATGATGGACTGTAGCTTTAAGCCAGCGGCACACCTTTCTGATTTTACCAGTTCACTGGATCACCGGTACCGTTTTTTCACTGTTGCGGACACCACAATGTTACCCATACACGTTACCCGATTCCATTCCATAATCGGTCACATGATGATCAGTCACATGATGGCCAGTCACATGATGACAAAATGGCAGCTGTCAATTTTGAATCATGTTACTTTCTTCTTGAATCTGATTGGTTAACATACATGTAGATATCGCGTCCGGTAAAATCAGAGTGCTGCCCGCACACCTTTCCGATGACATCAAATCCGGTGTCATTGGATGCAAAAAATCAAACCTGTTCGATTTCATCCAGTCACCCAGTGTACATGTACGTTCAAATCAGTCCAATTTTTCAGCGTACACCTCTCTGATCTGTACGTCCGATGGCCTTTTGATCCGTTAAAGTCGGAAGGTTGTGCGGTGAGCTTTCAGTCATATGACAAGCTATTTGAATGAACTGTGTCAGATGTACATGTAGTCTTGGTCCAAGTCTGGATTTACCTTTTGTTCTCCTAATGCATCGTGTTGTTAGAGGGTGATATTCATGAATCCAATTTTTTGAACATTTTTTTGAACTTTGGCACTCAGAATCGAGAAAGTTTGTATTGTTCAGAGTTGAAGCCGGCCTCATCAGGTCGACCCACGATTTGCTTGCGCCACGACGGAACCATCGGCATCAAGCAGAAAATTAATGCTCAGGTCACAAACCTGAGAAATCGTGTGATGGTTGCGGAACAGGTCGCAGAAGTAAAAATTATTGTACTGTACTCTTGCGACTGTGGATTTTTTGAGCACCGGTTGATGCCGATCGTCTCAATATCGTCGCAGTTACACTCAGGTCGCACAAAATCGGTGACTGACTTGTTCCTGATGGTCATAGCTCAGGCGCAGCTTATCCTAAAAAGTCAGTTGCCGACTGATCTGTGACGTTGCAAGGTCTACCTGGGACCAGTTTTAGACTCGGTAATCAGTCTTTGCTTGTTTGCATGACAGGGTTTTAGGATTTCACAGAGCTCCCATCGTAGTAGGGAGACGAATCAATCTTCGAACCGAAATCAAGCCAGTGGCATCACAAAGTCTACTAAATACATTCCTTAATCGGGGTGAGTAAAACAAGGCTTTGGATCCAACAGAATCCAAAAGAACCCAACAGAATCAAAAAGGATTAAATAGAATCCAATAGAATTCAACAGAATGTAATAGAATCCATCAATGCTACATGTGAAATCTGCTGAGTCAATCAGAGCAACAATCAGAGCCCAACAACACATAAATGTTATTCTTGATGAATTTAACATAATCTAACAACACAGTGAATCCTGCTAATTCCATCAGAACCCAACAATAGAATACTGTTAAGCTGGGTGAATGTAACAATTTAGAGGCACATAGGAACATCAGAATTTACCCAGAAATGGATTTAATGGGGAAAAAAAAGCTCGCCGAAAGCGAAGATGGGGCTAGTCCCCAATACCATGCAAAATTCTTCCACCTAAAATGGTTTCAAGAAAAAAGAAATAGTAATTGAAGATGGTTTTCACTTTACACTGTATAAAGTCTTCCAAAGTTTGGTATTTCTTCTTTTTGTTTGGCCCCCCGTTTGCAAGCCTGAACACATTAGCCAGTATTTTCTTTTTGTTTCTGTCAGGAAACCAGACTTGTTTCTATGGTAAATGCTACTACTGCAAACCAGAGGAACCAGCCTGTGCTGATGAGCATGACATGATGGAGGGGTCGTTGACCTTGTGGTTGCCTAGAGACAAGAAGCTGAAGAAGTGGCACCATCTGTGGTCCAGAACCTACAGGGACAACAAAAAAGCACAGTAGGTTTTGGTAGTACTTAGTTTTATTTGGAATACTGCTGTAAAGTTTTGGGAAGGGGCACACAGGAGGCCGTCAAAAAAAGTTGTTTTGTTTAAATAATTGAATCCCTGAGAAACATGACTGTTTAATTGAATCTCTGAGAAACATGACTGTTTTTAATCACTAGAAGGTCCCCTTAGCATTTCATGAAGTCAAATGCTACCCCACCCCCATGGTAATGTCTAATCTTTTTGATGGTCAGAGGGCCAGCCTATTAGTGTTCCCTTTCTGACTCTGTCTCGCAGTCTGAGTGACTCGCACTGTCACTTGGGAGTCTGGCAGTGCTGTCTTATAGGATTACCTCATAAAGCTTATGGACTAGATAGACCCGGCCCCTTGTGTTGACCAGATGCATGAAAATACTTCCAGTACTTCTACAGTGTGGTAAAGGCTTGCATTGTCTTGCTATCCTATACATGTAGGTGGGAACATGACAACAATTACTGCCAAGGTGTCCTAGAAAAGTACCCACTAGAGAAACATCGGCACATTATGGATATCCTAGACACGGCGGCATTTGACTATCTGATCGGCAACGCAGACAGGCATCAGTACGAAACATTTGAAGCTGATGGCGATCAAGCGATGCTGCTTCTTATGGACAGTGCTAAGAGGTGAGCACCCCACCCTCTCAAAAAGACACGGTTGACAAAAAGTGAGTGTTTATGGAAAGTTAGTCTTCGTTCAAGACACTGGATTTGCATGATCAGTGGCAAGCACAGCTAAGCCTCTATCTGCAGCAATAAAATGAATCAAATCCACTCTTGAGAACTTTGGCACCCAGACCCAAGAAATACGCCAGTTGGGTATTTTAACTACGTATGCGCACAGTGATATGGCTCACGGGTCAGTCAGGGTCACCGAATGCTCACTGAAGGCGCATAAATGCGCAGGGAGACGGGCGCTTGATGCTCGCAGTTTAATTACCAGCAGAATGGGCGTTTAGCAATGAATGACCTTTGACCTGGACTGCTTCATCCAGATACCAAACTGGTTTATTAAGAGCATACAATGTACCTCTTGCATGCAGGTAGCATGGCGTACATGAGATATTCTTGGAATTTCTTGGGTCAGACTGCCAGAGTTCCCTAGGCTGGTTTTGATAGTGGATCTTGTTGATGGTGCCCTCCGCATCTTGACCGTGCTTGTGAGGAACCGGCTGCACTATTGGGACAAATCAAAAGTCTGTCTTGGACCGATACTAGTGGGCTGTTGCATCTCCAAGGGCGGATTTAAGGGGGTAGTTGGAGTGGCTAACCATCCCCTTCCGTCTTTGCAATGTTAACTGTTAACCTTATAAATATCAAGTGATGGAGAAACAAATCTCACTCAATTCAATACTGCCATTCAATACTGTCATTCAATACTGCCAGTTTTGGATTCATTTGGGCGCGTCTCAATTCATATGTGCGATGAGTTTCGGACATTTTATCGGGTATAAGTTGCAGGATTCTGAACATCTTATCGCAATCTTCCTGTGCAGTTATCAGTATTGATGAGTGAAGGCGTGTTTTAATAACCACAACCACAACCACTTAATAGAAGACAATTTTTTGTTTGTTCTTTGTTATTCATCTGTGTCAGTTTTGGTAATCCCCATCATGATGAAAGAAGTATCCTGGCTCCTTTGTATCAATGCTGCAAGTAAGTCTTTCCTTTTGGTCTCTCCATTTTCTTTTATAGTAGGCTAGCCAAATGTGGAAAAGTACCCTAGAGAATAATATCACCTAATTTGCATAAATCGTTCATACCCGCCGTGTAGTATATTTTTACGCTTATTTTGGGTATATCTTTTATTTTTTAATTTTTGGAAATTTTATTTTGGTGATTCTACTTTACATCCTTACTTCAATAACATTTTCTAACAAATATAAGCGACTGAATTATTATTAGGATATGGTAAGGATCCAAAACGGCTCCTATTATACCCAAAAGTTGGGCGACTTTTACTTTGTCTCCAGATATCTTCAAGTAGTCTTGCCGAACATCAGTATTGATGAGCTTCAGATTCACCAAGTTGCTTACTGGCACAGTTACCCTATTAAAACCTTACGGAAAATCATGTGAACAATGATAACATTGTGATATTAAGCCAAGCAAACAAAAACGGGAAAACGAGGTGTCTGTTAATTGGCCTAATTAGTGAAGGGTTGCCTAACGTGAGAGACTTGAAATTCCCCGTTTTTGTTTGCTGCGCTAAATACCACAATGTTATTATTGTTCACATTATTTCCCATAAGGTTTTAATAGGGACACTGTGGCAGTAAGCAACTTGGTGAATTTGAAGCTCATCAATACTGAGGTTTGGCAAGACTACTTGATGATATCTGGAGACAAAGTAAATGCGCGAAATTTTGGGTATAATAGTAGCCATTTTGGATCGTTACTATGTCCTCATGATTATTATGTCACTTACATGCGTAAGAAAATAACATTTAAGTAAGGGGGTGTAACTAGAACCACCAAAATAAACTTTTCAAAAATAAAAAAAATAAAGAATATACCCAAATATGGGGAATAAATATATGACACTGCAGGGATTAACAATTTATGCAACTTAGGTATATTTAGGGTCAAAATTAAGGGTGGCATCCACCTAGATTTTCTTCTCCACCCTTTGACTGATTGATCTGACATGGTTGCCTGCTATTACCACAAATGCTGTCCAAAATGTAATTTTCCACTATGGCTGGTCCACTGATTATTCATCCCTTCCCAAACAAATCTAGAAACATGGACATAAGGGGTCATCTCATAAAAAAATTGACATTTACACATTACACATTTTACATTGCCATCAAGCATATATTTATCCATTTTCGTGGTGGCTTCAAATTATGGTGAGATTTGGGATGTGTATGAACAGCGGTTATTGTCTATTCCTGGAAATATGTAGGGCTTATAAATTGTTTGTTGGTTGTGACTGATTATGCAGTTTTATGCTCTGCGACTTTTTATAAAGTACCAAACCAGTTAGGCCTATATCCTGTGAAGGTGATGAGGATATTTGGTCAAAGTTTTGTAATGTTTACACTTTACAGCAAAAAATTTGGACTGTCCGTTTGCACATAATTTAGCATTCAATTACTCAAAGCTGTGTTCATGGTGTTGGACAAAATATTCAGATATACGAAACTGCCAGCTGCAACTGCATGATGCACTGGTAAAAAGTTGCACGAAGAGTGCGCCAGCTAAAATTGTGTGCGGCAAGCGATATGAGGTGCTGGAGTGTTTTATAGTAAGTATTTTATAACTTAATTTTTTTATAAAATACTTGCTATAAAATTCTTACTGTATATTTCGTCACCGACACCACGAAGTAACACCCATGATCTACATACCAGTAAAAACTAGCAATCGGAGAAAACGGCATCTAAAGTTGAACGCCTTCTAAAACACACTTTGCGTCAAAACGACAGAGTATTTTCAGTTGGGTTTCTCATTGTGGACACTTAGTGAATTGAATTTATTAAATCTGCTGTTTTTCACCCGTTTGTGTATTAAATAAACAAGAAATAAGAGAAAAAAGATGAGTGTTAGTTCGTGAAATCGAAAAGGCTGCGAAACTGTAAATTTTCGTTTTCACGAAGTAACACTCTTCAACGTATTCAACACTAGGAAAGTGCAACTTCAGGTCAAGAGTGTTACTTCGTGAAAACGTTTTTGCTCACTTATGAGCAGAATGCGCGCCATGCATTGCAATGGTTAATGGAACTTGAGTGTTACTTCGTGAAAACGAAAATTGTCACTTTTGCGCAAAAGTTGCCATGGATGCTTAGAGTAATTATTAAAGTAAAGCTCTTGAAGCTTTGAAACTTCGTGCAATGGTAGGCCTTGATGAACAATGTTTAAAAATTAAAAAAACCTGAAAATCAAACAAAATATGGTTTAACACGGTAGAGTGTTACTTAGTGGTGTCGGTGACGATTTATTGTTCTGTAAAATTACTTTCACCTGCTACAAGGACGAACTGTCGTCAACACAAAAGCAACTTACTGTCGACAAAAAAGTGGCACCCGACAAATAAATTTGACGCTAAAATAATATCACAGTTGTGTGTGTACATGTAGCTTTTTTCTTCTTCGAATATTCAAACCAGCAAAACGCTAATCGAATATTGGGTTGATGATCGAATGTTTCTCCTATTCCATAGATTCGGGACAGCCCTACAAAAATTAAGACAAAGTTCTTACATGTATTTTTTCTCCAATGTCCTTTGGTGTATAATTGGCCACATACATGTACATGTGTACCTTAAAATCCTCATATTCCAGGTTTGGTTAGCAATGCCTCAATGCACTGTGAAATCCTTTTCAATACAATCATTTTTTTACTGAGTCAAAGGTACATGCATTTATGTACATGTACATGTACACACAGGTTTGTTTATGGTGTAAATCGAGGACTTTCTTTTGTTCCTTTTCCATTTTCCTTTGTTTGTACTCTAACTTTTTCGAACCAGCTCTCATTGGTTTTGTACACGTTTTCTATTTGTCCTCGATTTGGTTCCTGTCCTCAATTCATCGATGATGTTGCAACAATTTTGAAATACTTATTGTTGGTATTCTTTCTTTTACTGAAAAAAGGAAAAACTGACTGGCTTCATTGCATGCAGTCTATTCCGTCCTCCATGATTGCAGTCCGTAATACTCAGTATACTACAGGCAGTGGGCGTAGCTCATTTGCATAGATTGTAATATTCATACATCTCACACGCTGCACAAATCTCTATGTGAGGCATAGTCAATTCGAAAATTTCTTCCAACTGGAAGAGTTTTGTCGAGCGAAGTGGCATTTTTTAAGTGTTACAAGTGCAGCCCTAATATTTGAAGCAGAAACACATGAGTTTTGCATGATTTAGATTATTCACAATCATCTAATTTCAAAAAGAAAACCGTGACCAACACGTGGAACCTTTCGTTATAAGTCAATGTTACTTTGACGAAACAATATTTGTCATCTGTATGGTTTATGGGAAGAATATTCCCAAAGTACTTTTTTGGAAGTTTGTGAGGTCTTACTCACTTTGGGTTTCCTCAACACAGACTTAAATGAAATCAGAAAAAGAGACTTGTATTTTAAACATCAATAAAATGTCAACCATCATCATCACACAAAGTCGATGTAATAAAGCTCAGTTTGAAGACTTACTAAGATAAATACAAACTGGTGTTGAGATTATGACATGTTGAGGTAGATGATCTTGTGTAACTTTTGAAGTCGTCAGTCACCTGAGCCTAATGAGCCGATTTAACGACAGTGTCATCGCCTAGACACCAGTAATTTGATTTGATTTGGTAGGATTGTTTTTGTCGGTATTAAGTTGTCATCCTGATTTCAGGAAGTCAACTTTCCAGATAATCTATATCTGGGCAAGTTATTATGTTGACCTGGGGTACTCGACTTTTTGAGGTAAATTTAGCTCGGAGGAATCACGTCATTTGCATATATTTTAATATTCATTTATGCAAGCCGTTTTACAATTGCCCATGTGAGGCATGGTCAACTAAGTTCTGAAAACTGGACAATAATGTCAAGCTGGACTCGAACTCACAGCCTGCAGCTTTACCCACAGACGACAATCCAGTGCCCTTGACCACGAGGCCACAGCACTCCACTTACTTTCGATTTGTTGTTTCCAACTTGTGAATCCAGTCTAAGACTGAAGTTCGTAATGTTTCGGTCAAGACATTCCGTTTCTTCAATTGTCACATTCACACAAGTCTGTGATGTGGACACCCAACTTTAGCAACACTCACACAAGCGCACAAAAATCGACGATAAGATCATCTTTTGATGTTGTCAAAGTGTGAACATGTTGCAAACAATTATATAACATGTCCGAATCGTGAATTAGTAGTCTCTTGAATAACTGACGACGATAGGTCAGTTACGGTGTATTGAAAATCGGACTCGTACTACAATCGGACTCTTTTTCCCTTTTATTGGTTAAAACCTCTCACGTGACCGGTCCTTCTCCAAATTGTACATGCATGAGCATGCGCAATACCCAACCTCGTACCCAGGGTGTCGAACAGTACGCGCCCATCACTACCTGCTCTCTCACCCTGGTATTGGATCATTTGCATGTGCAAGATTTTTGAACACGTATGCAAATGAGGAACAGTCTGGTGCCTGGATATGCGTTACACATTAGCGTTTGTTTTTGTATGCGGTGTCTGGGGTAAAAACTGAGTCAATTCGTAGCAGCACGAGCACAGCGTGAGTTACGAAAACACGATTTTTTAAATCAAACTGTTACGATCTTATCAAAACAACATGCAGTATCATATTTCATATTAATATGAGCAAATTGGAAATGAAATTAGTATTTTCGAGAAGGCGTGGACGAATGATCGCGAAAACACATACTGCACGTTGTGAATAATAGCACCAAGTACACGATAAAAATCCATTACTAGCCAATTGCGGCATCGAATCAGGATACAGGAAGAAAGTTTCCTATCCAGGGTTTACTATTGGAAACGCGGTTGGAAATAACGTAAGCACTGGGGACGAGGTTGGCGCAATACCATCAATGAGTCCATATTTCCTTAAACTTATATTCATGCTACAATGGCAGTCCTATTTTTCACACATTAGGTCTGTGATGTGTATACCCAACTTGAGCATCACTCACAGACTTCTCATAAATTGCGAATTTTCATTCGCGAACGCTGCGAAATCATGGCGGCAACAATAAGTGTACAGAAACAATCTACAAAAAAATCACGGCTTCTGTTACAAGAATTACACGGTTCGTATCATCACATCGCATACGACTCGTGCGATATGCTTCAAATTTGAGGGCTTAGTGTATTTTAACACTTAAAACTTGCCGTTTAGCTTGACAATAATCGTCCAGTTTAGAGAAAGAGGCAAATTGCATGTGTCTCACATGGGAAATTGTAATGCGCCGGGATATATGAATATTAAAATCTATGCAAATAAGCTCCTCCCACTATAATACGTTTACTGAATTGGGAGTGAGTGATTGAAGCTTCAGTACCTTATTATTAATGGAGGAAAAAACGTAAGTGCAATGTAAGTGTTCAAGCTTTTTATTAATCATTTTGTAAAACCATCAACACAGCTAAAGGTAAATTTAATTTTTGAGGGAAATTTATCTTGGATCTCTGAGGAGCTCATGTCATTTGCATAATGTTTTAATATTCATCTATCCTGGCTGCTTTACAATGTGAGGCATGGTCAACTTTAGGATTTCTCAAAACTGGACAATAATTTCAAGCAAAACGTCAAGTTCTCCATGTAAAAAGTACAGCCCTAGAGTTTAAGCATAGCACACACGTTTTACGCGATGTGGCACTCTTATATATAGAAACCGTGATTTTTGGTGGATCATTAATTTCATTAGGACATCTTTGTTAAAATGAAATCGACTAAGTGGTTTGCAGAATGTTTATAAAAGTATGTGAGTGTTGCTCAAGTTTGGTGTCAACAAACAGTCTTTAGTGAGTGTGAAAATAATAAGACGGGCATTTATGGGGTGTCATGAACGTCAGAACTTTCACCTATCTCTATGAGCTCACAGCAGTGGTATATTTGTTGCACTTGAACAGGCGTAAACAGGTGTTTCATCTACATGTTCTTAATTTTTGTTTAAAAAATCTGTGAAAGAATAAGACAAAATTTTTTGTCGACTATGTATTGGATATACAGACTCTTTCGTGTAGACGAAATATGTTCGCGCATGTAGGTGTACATTAGTTCATGACATGCGTGTCATGCTTATAAATGCAGGTGGACTCAGCATAAAAAAGCGCTGTGTTTTGTCACAATTTGGGTCAGTAAATGGCTGGTTGACTTTGTTTTATCATGTCCTGTGAAAGAAAGTTAAGACTGTCAGATGTCATGAGAGCATAGGATAAATGTTGTAGAAGAATTTAAAGAAATCATTTCATTTTGGGAAGAAGTTGTGCATGATCTTCAAATTGAGAGTCATCATTTCTGGTTAAGATTCAGAGTAGAACGGTTACTGTATGCAAGCTTTACTCGTGAGGGGAGAAAATATATTTCATGAATACAAAAAATTACTGTACATGCATACGTTTTTCTTGCAAAGTTTACCTCAAAATAATGAACATGAGTGATTCCACGATATGTTCAATGAAGAGGTTTCATATAGCATTTTGAGATTTTCCATGATACCATCCAATGTGGACAGAGTAACATTTGAACTATCTAATATATGTTCTCCATCAATTCTAAAATATCCCGTTTTAGAAAAAAAAAGTAGAAAGTTTTGACCTAAAAAGTGTTGTTTCGGTTTAAGGAAAATGAACACTGCTGCGTCAAAAGTAGAATTGCAGTTGAACTAAAACAAATCGACGCATAAAAATGGCATGTTTTGGGGTTTTTTTCAGTGGAAAGAAAAGTGTACACATACCTTCATTAAGGTTTGATAAGTCGTACGCCACTGCTTTGTGGATTCATGTTAAACACAATCATTTGAAAGTGAAACTGAGTTGCTTCCAATAGAAAACAAGTCAAAGGCCATGCATGCAGTTGTTTTGTGAAGAGATTGTTGTAACTCCATGTCTATATCCATTTCAATTCATTCAGGTTTTTTTATTTTACTTAATACATGTTTTGATGGTTTTACCATGGAGGTGGGAACGGTTTTACTAAACGCTTGTAAAGCTTGAACAATGAAGCTTCACCGCACTCCAACTCAGTAAAATAGTGGGAGGAGCTCATTTGCATATATTTTAATATTCATATATCCTGGTTGCTGTACAATTTCCCATGTGATGCATAGTCAATCTGAAGATTTCTCAAAACCGGACGGTCATTGTCAGGCAAAACGGCAAGTTCTAAGGTGTCAAAAATACAGCCTTTAAAATATAAGCATAACACACGAGTTTTATGCGATATAGATAAAACAAACCGTTTAATTCTTATAAAAAAGCCGTGATTTTCTGGTGGATCGTTTCACTATAATTTGCAATTTTGCCTGCGTAGAATTTGACGTAGAGCAAATATTCGCCTTGGAACATTTGTCAATTTTTGAAAGGTCTGCGCACGACATCCGCATATGGGTGCACACTATTGCGTTTTGGACTTACTTTTGTAACATCAGGAGAACAAAATATGAAATTAGAAGGGAAAATAAATTCGAGCGTAATGAAATTCGGACTTTATTTCCCTTTTGAAAAAAAAAATCATCCGAGCATCAGGTTAGAAAATTAAATCAATTTCGGTTACGAAATGGAATCTGCAACATCGTGGTGCAAAATCACGACCATGTATCGACTGAGCTATCGTAGAGGGCGCTGAACAACCATGTACATCTGTCCGGGGGGACACTTTTACCTAGGTAAACTTGTCCCCCTCTAGGTAAATCTGCCCCCCTGCACGACGTTAAATGTGCCCCCCCCCCCCCCTGGTAAATGTGTCCCCCCCCCCCCCCCCCCCTGGTAAATGTGTCCCCGTGCAACGTCACAAGTCTAGCACCCAGACTGTATATTAGTGAAGTTATTAACAGTTTTTGCTCGGCGCCTTGCTAAATTCGGGATGGTGCTTACGTCATCAAAGCACAACTCCCGTTTTGATGACGACTTCGGGAGCGAACGATTTGCATGGTGGGCGTGCGCGCGAGGGTACCGCACCCACGGGCCGCGCCAAGGCCGCGGCCGGGGACGGGGCCCGGGACAGCAGTGCACCAGCAGCAGGAGGGCGGCGCGGTGACCCGTGTCGCGTATAATTTTGCCAATTCTCCTCATTGAAGTCCGCCATGACAGTCACACGTGCGCATATCGGCGGCTGATGCGCGAGGGCGTGCTAGCGATAGGTTGAGTATTACTACGCGTGCCTTCTTGCAGAAACAAAGATCGGTTGATTAACATCTAAACGTTAATTTCATTTTGATAATTATTGATGAAGGGTGGAAAAATCTAAAAATGTATACCCTGTGCGCTGAATTCATTATAATAACATCAATAAAACAACTTGTGCGTGCAAAACCAGGGGGGACAGAATTAACTGGAGGGGACAGAATTACCTGGAGGGGGACAGAATTAACGGGACAGGGGGGACACTTTTACCTAGGTAATTCTGTCCCCCCGGACACTTTTACCGTGGGACAGAATTACCGTCCACACCGGTGTAGCACGATTTAAGTTTTATGAAATACGGACTCATTGGTGGTATTGCGCATGCTCATGCATAGATAATTAGGAGAGGGTACCGGTCACGTGAAAGGGTTTAACCAATAAAAGGGAAAAAGAGTCCAATTTTCATACTAGTCCGATTTTCATATGACACCGGTCCCCTGGCATTTGGCTAGCGGGCTGCCTGCTGCCAAGGTCGATCCTGGTAAACAGGATTGCTTTGGTGTAAGTTTTAGCTGTCTTGATGGTTTGTATATATACAAAATATGTAATAAAAAGCTTGAACACTTACTTTGCAATTAGGTTTTTTCCTTCATTTAACGAGAAACTGAAGCTTCACTTACTCCCAATTCGGTACACGTATTATAGTGGGAGGAGCTCATTTGCATATATTTTAATATTCATATATCCCGGCCGCTGTACTATTTCCCATGTGAGGTATATTCAATTCGTCTCTTTTTCTAAACTGGACGATTATTGTCAAGCTAAATGGCACGTTTTAAGTGTTAAAATACATCCCTGACATTAGAAGCATATCGCACGAGTTGTATTTGATGTAAAAAAATACAAACCGTGTGATTCTTGAAATAAAAGCCGTGATTTTGTTGTATATTGTTTCTGTATATATATTGTTGCCTGCTTTACAATCTGCATCATTCGCGATTTATGATTTTCGCAAATTTTTGAAAAGTCTGTGAGAGATGCTCAAGTTGAGTGTATACATTACAGACCTACATGTACTTAAAGTGAAAAGAATA